ATATTGCCCAAGTAACTAATATAATTTCCAATGATATTGCCAAAGGAGCTAATGAAAATCACAATGATATTGCCCAAGTAGCTAATGAAAATCACAATGATATTGCCCAAGTAACTAATATAATTTCCAATGATATTGCCAAAGGAGCTAATGAAAATCGCAATGATATTGCCCAAGTAGCTAATGAAAATCGCAATGATGTCGCCCAAGTAGCTAATGAAATTGCCAATGATATTGCCCAAGTAACTAATAACATTTCCAATGATATTGCCAAAGGAGCTAATGAAAATCGTAATGATATTGCCCAAGTAGCTAATGAAAATCACAATGATATTGCCCAAGTAACTAATAAAATTTCCAATGATATTGCCAAAGGAGCTAATGAAAATCACAATGATATTGCCCAAGTAGCTAATGAAAATCGCAATGATGTCACCCAAGTAGCTAATGAAATTGCCAATGATATTGCACAACCAGCTAATGAAATTTCCAATGATACTCAGTACTTTACAGTGCCCCTCCCATTCCTGCAGGATTCCGGTCATTCCTGCGGATTCCGGTGGATTCCGGAGGAATGGGACCGGAATCCGCCGGAATCCACAGGAATCCACAGGAATCCGCAGGAATGGGACCGGAATCCGCAGGAATGGGACCGGAATCCGCAGGAATGGGACTGGAATAGAAGTAAAATCACAGATACAACATACATTTACACCAATACACACTTCTGCATACTTCTCTTAGTACTTTTTAAGCTGATCAGACCTTGGACAAAGTAAGGAGATATTATGTGACTGAATCTAACTCAGGCCTTCTGCTGACAACTTAATCTTAGGATTCCTTAGGAGATTTATACTTAAAGAGGGAAGATTCATTTCAACTCATTTATTAAAAATACATGATGGAATTTATCTACATTGAATCTAGATAGAGGGAGGGGGAGGAGTGGAGGCAGGGGGAGGAGTGGAGGGAGAGGGGAAAAGTGGAGGGAGTGAGGGGGAAGGAGTGGAGGGGTAGGGGTGCTGGGGAGTGGGGGGAATGAAGAACTAGAGGGGGGGGAAGAACTGAAGGGAGGGGCAGGGAGGTAGGGAATGAGGGAATGAAGACAGGGGGTAGGGAATGAAGGGGGTAGGGAATGAAGGGGGTAGGGAATGAAGGGGGTAGGGAATGAAGGGAGGGGGTAGGGAATGAAGGGGGTAGGGAATGAAGGGAGGGGGTAGGGAATGAAGGGAGGGGGTAGGGAGAGGGAGGGAGTGGTGAGCAGGAAAGGAGGGGGAGTAAGGGAGGGGGAAGGGGATGGTGGGTAGTGGGTGAGCAGTAGGGAGAGGAAGGAGTGTTGAGCAGCAGGGGAGGGGGAGGGAGTGGTCTCGTTGGCGCGCATTGTCGACGCGTCATCGCGTCGTGTCGTCGTTTTCGCGTGTTGTCGTCCTGGCGTGTTGTCGTCCTCGTTGGCGTCGTGTCCGCTGGGCGTTGCGTTGTGGGCGTTAGGCGTTGGCATGGGCGCTGGGCGTCGTTTCGTGGGCGCTGGCGGTG